GTAGCATCTCTGGTTTACGAGCATGGAAGCTGTGCTCTGAGCGCCAGAACCAGAAACCTGCCCTTGGACTATTCAATGCACTGTTGCCCCATGTTGTCACCTCAAGCTCTGAATTGCTCTATGGCTAAAAAAACCTCCAAACCTTCCCTTATTCCTAGTATCTTTCTCTACATGAATGGTGGCCCTAAAATGATTAGCAATTTAATTTTTTATTGTTTTAACAATTATAATATAATGCATGAATACGATTTTTAAACAGTTGAATACTTTTATAAAGTTTATAGGGATACTTGGACCCAGCAATCTCATTCTTAGGTGTAGGCCAGTCTTGGATACATGTGTATGTACCCAACAGAAATGCATGACACGTTCCCTGAAAGGTGTGCACAAGATTGTGCGCGGCGATACAGCTCATTGTGCCGCATCTTCGTTACATTGCACTATGTTCATACAGTAGGACACGATGCAGTGATGAAAATTCACAAGCTAAATTGGCGCAAACAATATGGAGAATCTCCTAGGGATGATGTTGCAAGACAGAAACTTAACGCATCTGCATGATTCCGTTTATGTAAAGCTCAAAAACAGGAAAAATAATCTGTGGGGTGAGATTTCAGAAGGGCAGTTACTCCTGATGGGAGGTGACTAGTGATGGGAAGTAACCGTGAGGCAGCTTCTGACAGGGTTCTGTTTCCTGCCCTGGGTGATGGCTGGCTAAACGGCACTTCGCTTTGGAAAATCACTGAACACTACTTAGATATTCCCATTTTCAATATGTATATTATAATTACATCTGATTTCCGTAAGAAATGAAGAATCAATAGAATACATATATATCTTTGAAATAATCCGGTAATGCTACGATCTTTGTTATCTCCAAGCTCTGTGTTGGTAAAGCTCTATTCAACAAAAGGAGATGGCTTCCACATAGAATCAAAGTTGATGTTTAAAGTAAATTCTTAAACTTTCTGATAAATACAATAGGCTTTTTGCAACTAATGTGATTGATAAGGTCTTAGATAACTATGCTGATAAAACTGTAGATCTTTATCTTGATAGAGTCGTGATGTCATTCAGTCGTGTGGCAGATATTTAGCAAGCACCAATTTCGTGCGAGGTGTTGAGCTATGCAGTGCATAAATATGAAGATGGGTTAGATAATGTGTTCCTTATCATGTACTTCACAACTTTTCAGAGGAGAGATTTGGACTTGAATACCTAAGAATATGAGGCAGAGCTTGTGTAATTAATGCCAAAAAATTTGGAAAAACATGCTATTCAAATATGAGAAAGGAATGGATGGAGTAATCGTAAAAGAGTTTATGAGATCAGGAATCAGTATCTGCTCTGAAAGATGCACAGAACTTTGTTAGGTAGAGATAGGCACCAAGCCATTCCAAAAGGAAAGAAGTGTTCAGAAGGAAAAACAAATAAAAAGCAATGTATATCAGTCGACTGGCAGTTAGTCTAGCTTGGTGAGAGTCTAGGGCATGCATCGAAGGGCATAGCAGCAGGAAACTGGAAATGTAGACGAGAATCTGCTACGCTGAGGAGTTTGTGCTTATTTCTCTTGGTAGACACTGGGCAGCCATGGGGCAAATTCATGGAATGCAATGTCGTGTTTAAGCTGTTTTAGGAAGAAATCTGGCAAGCAGGGTGCAAAAGAGTCTGGAAGACACTAGGGATAGGAAGACTAATTATGAAGCTGTTCCGACAGTTCAGATGTGAGGTCACAATGAATAAAATAAAAAATATAACTCTTGGGAATGGGAAGGTAGCCCAGGATTCAAAAGACACTGTGGAAGGAAAATCAATCAGAATGGAAACTTATTGGATGAGAAAGTTATATATGGGACAAAAAGGCCCACAAAGACTCTGAAGCACGATGATTTTTAAAAAGAAACTACAATAGGTTGGTACAGTTAGAACTTAGTGACAAGAGGAAAGTAACTGGAGGAAAAAAACAGAGGCAGCTAAGCGTACACAGTCTCTCCCTGTAGTGAACTGAATAAAAAAAAGAAAATAGAACAATGGCTTCACAGAATATGACAGCTGGGAGCGTAATGATTAGAGCGCAGAACTCTGAAGCCAGACTGTCAGCATCCAAATTCTGGCTCTGCTGCTAACTCCCTGTGTGAATGCAAGCTATGTTCTTAACCTCTCCAAACCTCTGCTTGCTTATCAGTAAAACAGGAATAATAATAGTAGCTACCCCATGACTTGAACAGTTGGCATTCATTACAAATTCTATGTATGTTTTTGCACTTACTATATAGTACAACTGAGAGATGTGCTGGAGTATAGAGGAAATAGGACGTACAGTAAGTAGAAAGAAACAGCCATTAATTCATTCACTTGAAATTGTATCCATTGCGGGCCTACCATGTGCCAGGCTCTGTTCTGGGTACTGAGGATACAAAGTAATCAAAACAGGCAAAGTCTCTGCCTTTGTATAGATTGCATTAAAATATAGGAAACAAATAATAAATACATACACACAAAAATGCAAGTAGGTGGTCAGACACAATGAAGGAAAATGATGCAGAACGAAGGGGGCTGAGAGTGACCAGAGATTCTATGTCGGGCAATGTAGGGAAGTCCTGTGTGTGGTAGTCATGGCTGAACACTGACTTGAGTGCTATGAGGCAATAGCCATGAAAATATCTATGAAAAGAGATCCCAAGCAAAGAGAGCAGCGAGTAAAAAGTCCCTGAGTTGGAAATGTGCATGATTATCCAAAAAGCAGAGAGGGGGACTATGTGGCAATGGGTCACAGAGAGTTCGAGAAATGGGTCACAGAGAGGAGAAGCAGAAGATGGAGTGAGGGGCAAGGCCAGAGGCTGGACCACACGGTGCCTTTTAAGACAGGGTAAAATCACTGGATTTCGCTCTACCTGTGCAGAAGTCAAGAGGAGCAACACAAAGAATATCTTTCAATATTTGTATACTGAAAGGCTAATGTGGGGACAACTCACTGTAGGGCCAAGAGCTAAAGGAAAGAAAGCAGTTACCAGCTTACGGTTATCGTCTATTATCTGTAAGAGATGGCGGTGTCGTGGATGAGGGGTGGTCAGAGTTGGACAGGTATTGAACGCAAGAACTATAGAATTTGATGCAAGACTGAATTTGGAGTGTGAGAAAATCTGAATGAAGAGGCACGAAATTAAAGTTCTGAGCAAGAGTAAATGAATCGGCAGTGGCGCCATGTGTGGACCGGGGAGAGCAGGAGGAAGATGGAGTTGGCAGCTGGGGGCAGGATTTGGGGGAGAGCGAGGGCCTCATTTTGAACACAGACGGCCTGCTCATTCCATAGCCACCTGGAGGCGCTGAGTCAGCCCCTGATATGGAGGTTGATGTGGATCCCGGGAAGGGGGAAAGCTGGAGATAAAGCTTGGGATCCAGGAGCATTTTCATGGCGTTAAGACCACTGGTACGAGATGATCATCTGAGAAGCTGGTGTAGACAGAAGAGAGGAGCTTGGGGCCTGAGCCCTGGGGCACTCTCTGATTCTTGGAGATTGGGAAAAAGAGGGGGCACACGAACAAACACTGAGAAGCAGCGGCCGTGGGGTAGGAAGGAACCCAGGAACACGCAGCATTCGGTAAGCGAGGGTGCTGAATAACACAGGGCTTGTGAGGGCGTTTGTATGTGACTGGAGGGAAAACCGATGATACAGAAAGGGCAGGAAAGGGGGCAGGAGAGTCCGTAAGGGTGAAAAAGGCACGTCCACGTGAGACAGAGCTCGCCTTAATTAGAAGGACAAGCGGATCGACTGGGTTTGATGGGAAGACAGGGATACCATTTCCGAACGCTTCTCTCTCCTTGCTGATCTGAGAACCAAGGAAAGGGGTATTGGTAGTCTGAAAAGCGAGAACACATATAAGACACTCATCTTACAAAGTGAGACAATTAATGACTACAGAAATGCAGCGGCATTTCCAAATAGATGACAGCTCCCCTGGGGGTTGTGGCCGGAGATGCCCAGGAAGCAGGCTGTGTGTCTTTCTCTAGGGTCGGCTGTCAGGGCTGGTGGTGAGAGTCGGTAGAGGAGCTGATTTAACCAGGGCTGCATTTTTTTTTTTTTTTTCAGATGATATGATGGGGAAGGAGGACAAGGGAGATGAGGGTGTTTATAAGGGACTAGAAATAATAAATGATGACAGATTGGAAGCGGAGTTTTGGATGAAAATGAGAACACGAGGTGACGAGGAACACTGGGAAGGTGGCAGAGTTAATGGATCGGAGGGCGTAGTGAAATTGAAGAATGGTGGGCAAAGGGGAAATCAAATAAGGGAGCGGGAAAGTAATAAGGGGCTAGGAAAGGGGATGATAGAAACTGACAACTTGTAGGGGGCGCGATTATTGGTTTTGTATGTGACATGGAATTGATGTGCTGCGGTGGGAAAGAACCGACATCATTTCAGGTAACACAAGGGAACTAACAGTCTAGGGCACTGGATGGATGGTCGGCATGGGTATCGTAATTACCAAGATTGATCATAGGGGTAATTGGAAAGGAAGTGATCCACAGATACTAATATCTTCAGTAAATATGGGAATATGCCAGAGAACTTAACAAGAAGGGGGTAGTGAGGGAGTGAGGGTCTGTCAATACTTGCTTCAAGGGTGCTAGATTATTTAAGTCTAAAAATTGGACCCATTAAACAGTTAAAAAAAAAAAAGCTATGAAGGTGATCATTAGATAAGTTCAATAATATTGACAGAAATTTCAACTCTTTTTATGTCAACTCATATTTTTTTCAATTTCTTAAATACGTAGCTAACTGCTTGCCGTAACATTTCATGGTGTGTAACAAATACAGTAACGGAGTGAAAATTCTGACTTCTGCTTGTCAATAATGTGGTTTTAGGCATTCTTCGTTATGTCCATTTGCCCAGAAGGATCAGAAGAGACTTCAATCATTTTTCGATAATTAACATAGAAAAGATACAAACAGAACCCGCTTCATTCCCCCACTGCGGTGCCGGCCTTTACTCACCGGGGTTGCTGGACTGGCCTTCCATAGGAATCATGAGTTTTGCCCGGGTGGCTCGCCGTGCAGCCAGCGACCTCTCCAGAGTGGACATAGAGCTTCCTGCTTCTTCAGTGTCTTGACCTAAAAGAAAAACAGAGCTCCTGAGAGACACGCTTCCTTCAGGGATTCAACACTTCATATCATTTCTAGCCAGGCAGGCCAATACCTTTTTCATTTGATTAATGTATTAAATGATAATACCTAATTTCTTATTACTCAAGCAATACACCCTCACTAATAAAATTCACCTTCACCTCATGACCCAGAAAACAGCCAGGAGGAAGGGACAGGGGGGAGGGAGAGGTAAACGTGTGTCTGAACAGACTGTGGCCGCTCCTTCTGTCCCGTCCGTCACTCAACTTCACTGCACGGTGCTACAGGACTTACAGAAAGATTGCGACCTCGGCCTTCAGAGCCAAAAGTCTCGCTGGCCGTGGGGAGGAGTCTTTAAGTTTCACATTGTAGCTTTTAACAGAACTGAAATGCATTTAATAACTGAATGTGACACAAAAGTTAGGGGCTCTGCTTGAGATATTACTTAAGGTCTAGAAAAGAAGACTCAAAAACTCATAACTGAAAATCAGTAACTGGAGCCCTTGTTTAAAAAATTCGAGGCAGAAAAAGTCTAGTTATTCAGGTACGCATTTAAACAACTAAAATACTTTTATTTGGTTTGAAAACAACAGCTACTCATTCTACAAACACAGCATGAGTGGACGAAGAAGTTTTCTGAGGCCAGTACTCAGTTGATTCCCCAACATCCCATAAGCATTTAAAACTATGAGGACCCACAGGAGGTGAAATATCTCACCACCACTTTCTAGCTTTCCCACTTATTCCTGGACATGGGTTGTTTTGCGCCATTTTATTATACAGTGGGGTTTTCTCCAGATCACTTTGTATACTTACAGGGTGACTTCATTGAACTAGGCTAGTGATCGTATCAGTGTGATTGCGTGTGGATGAGAGGAGATCTCGGTGGTAATCAAGGCAAAGTAACAGAATGGTCAATGTTTTCATATTTCAAGTGTCCTCGATGTGGTTTTTTAAAGCAAAGAACTGACAGTAAATTTAAAAGCAATTTTCAGTTATCCGCAGACATAGGGCACTACAAAGTGTGCAATGGCTTCAACTTTTATCGCCTTGACAAACGTTTGCTCAAGATTTAACAAAAAGCAATCTATTCATTGAGGCTTCACATTACAATATTTCCCAACGGTATCATTCCTACCTCTAAAGGTTTCAAGAAGCACTGCAGTGATCAAAGGCAGACAACAGGGTGATGGGATAGAAAGTAAACCAGGTTAATCAGCCAAATTTATATCATATTATTTTCACTATTGGTAAATAACTGTAAATTAGTGGGAAGGATACCTCCACAAGAGAGAGTGGAGAACACCCCTGTGGGCCCAGAATGGGATGTTTTTCCTGATGGCAGAGGAGAGAATTACCTGAATGAGAGGTGCTTTTGCTCCCCATTTGGGTTTCTGACTGGCTGTGACTGACTGGTGTGAGCTCTTGGCAACTTTGGATGGGGGACTCCCTTCCCGCAGGGTCAGTGCCTGACGGCTTCTCGATGTTCTTCATCTCCATTTCCTCATGATGTATCCAAAGGTCAGGGGGCCGGAGGTCCTTCTGGCTGCCCTTCCTTTTGCCAACACTGTGGGTGGCCCGTTTCCTATGGAGCAGAATTAGAAGGCAAATGTGAGCACCTCTCTTCAACAGCCCCACCTCTCTTTTCTCTGTCAATTCAAGTTAGAAGCAGGGAGAGGAAACAAAAGCACTCCCAGGAGGAAACCTGTGAAATCCAGGAATTGGCAGGCTTGTCTTGGCAGCTTTTCCTCTTTTCCCAGGAGCTTTGCCACATTACAGGAGACGTGGTGCTGAATCCCCAGGGCCTCAGTGGCCTGCCAAGGAGAGCCTTCCTCCAGCCTCCCCGGCTGCAAATTCCAGCACAAGCTGACAATGGGTTAGATGGAGCCATATGCCAATCTTTGGAGCTAGGCATAAGGTACCTGACTGTAACATCTGCTTACGAGATAAATGAAGGAACTATTTTGAAAGGGCAAATAGAAATAAAAAGGCCAGAGTCTGTGCCAACAGCCAAGATACAGGCTTAGAAGGAAGTCTGTACCTCAGCTGTATAATTCAATGTGCAATCGGGAAGCTTGCTCTTTGGAGACAAAAGACTGCATGAGGATATTCTTAGGACAGGAAAACACATTACCCTTGGAGTCACTAAGGTCTGATTCAAGCGCAGTAAGACCCATCCTTTTGAAAAGAAAAGAACACACTTTGGAAGTGTGCTTCAAATGCCTCTTATTTTACTCAATAAGAATTTTGCAATTATACATTTATTTTTCAGCGGTCATCTCTCCTTGGGCCTAGTGAGATTCAAATGATTCCTGCATGCTAAGTAAAGTAGCACAATGTTCATGCTAGGCATTCTCTGCAGCAGGGGTCAGTAAACGATGGCCTGCAGGCCAGACCCACCCACTGCCTGCTCTTGTAAATAAAGTTTTATTGGAATCCTGTCAAGCTCATTCATTTTTTGCACTGGAGTGTTGAGTACTTGCAACAAAGACATGGCGAACAAAGCCTAAAATGTTTACTATTTGGCCTTTTTTTCAGAAAGATTTTTCAATCTCTGCTATATAGTTTTATAACATTTTAAATCTCCACTTGGACCTTCTACTTCTTTTAAAATAATCTCTCTTCATAAGACAAACTTCAGACAGCTAAAATCTCTTTTGACACAAGCCCAGAGAGGTACCCCCTTCTCACTTTCCTCACTTGCGGTGGTTTGCAAGAATAACTGTTTTTATCCTTGTTAAATGGTTCAAACTATTCTCAGTGAAAACTCTTTGTAACCCTGCAAGGCCACTGAGAGTGGCTTTGTTTTCCCAACTACTGAATAAGATGCTTTGCACATATTAGGCAATTAATAAATGTTTAATGGTGTGATTTGTTAAGCGTTCCTTAATATTCTTTCATTTGTCTTTTTTTGAAGCATGCAGATGAGAGCCCCAGACTTAATATCCATCTAGTAGTTTATGAGAAAAATAAGGCAGTGTTTTCTGCTCTAATATTTCCCCCCAAAGTACCTGCACTTTACTGATCTCCTGGTAGCAAGATCATACTGACTCTAGACAATGGCCTGTAGAATAATCCCTTCTTGACTATGTGTCAAAAACTCCACTAAGTACTGGAAATGCAAAGATAGGTGAGACATTGGGAGCTTAATAAATGAATGGCATGGCTCCTGGGAATTTGTGCATTTGTGGAATAAGGAGCCTGCACTTGGACATGGTAGGTAGAAAGCTGAAAAAGTGGAGGGGAACAAATCACAGGAGGCTGTGCCTCCAATAGAAACATTTTTAATAATATCAGTAAGTCTGTGGGGAACGGCAAAAAGATTTGTAGCTCAAGAGTTAACATTAGATCTGTTACTTTGTATAATGCAGATCACATACTCAGCACATAGTAATTATTTGAATTAAATAATACAAATATTTCATTATTGACTTGAGTATTTTTTAAGATTTTTTAAAAATTGATTTTGAGCCCGGCCAGGCATGGCTCAGCGGTTGAGCATCGACCTAGGATCCAGGAGATCGGGGTTCGATTCCCGGTCAGGGCACATGCCCGGGTTATGGGCTAGGCAGCCGATCAATGACTCTCTCCTTATTGATGTTTCTATCTCTCTCTCTTCCCCTCCTTTACTCTCTCTGAAATCAATAAAGATATGCTTAAAAAAAATTTGATTTTGAGAGAGAAAGGAAGAGAGTGAGAAATATCGATGTGAGAGTGAAACATTGACCGTATATCAAGTCAGTGACTGGGGCATGTGCCCTGCCCAGGAATCAGTCGGCAAGCCTTCGGTGCACAGGACAACACCCAACCAACTGAGCCACACCAGCCAGGGCTTACAAGTATTTTTTGCAAGGTTCTTTGATTCTTTATTGGCCCACCTCTTCCTTAGTTTGCATATAACCTGGGGACGTGAATGGGTAAGAACCAACATTGGGTATTTATTTTATTCCAACGTGCCCTTTGAAGTTCTAAAATACTATTATCATTTCAGAGGTTCTTTTACCACATTGTAAGGTTCTTTTACCACATTATTAAGTTCCCACTCTGTGCTTAGGAATCCTCTGCTCAGGTTGTTCACAAGAGGTAGACAGATAGCTCTGTACTAATTCTCATGGTCAGACAGACCTCTGCCCAAAATCTAAAGGGAGGTTGAGGTGGGGACACTGCCCCACTGGGAATTTAGGGAAGGCTGCGGGAAGGAAGAAGGCCTGAACTGAGGTAAAAAATAATTACAATTTAACTAGGAAAAACATATATTGAGAAGTATAAATACCTTCTCTGAATCCTCCATCCAAATCCTTTCCAAGGTTTCAAATTCTCTACACTAATTTTTTTTATTCTACTAACTGCTATTGAAAAAAAGCATTAGAAACCCAGGGAAAACATGTCTTAACTACTCAAATAAACCTGTATTTTCTGAGATGAAATAAAGACATATTGGAGTCCTAAGTGGTTGACAGTTAAAATCTCTGAGTGGTGTATGCTGAAAAATGATTAAAATGTTAAAACTTTAAAAATCAGTGCAAGTGATCTATAGTAGTTAAAGTATAGTAGATTTCATTTAAGAGTTTAAACATTTGATCCTGAGTACTGAAAATAATTATTTTGGTCAAGATCAGAATGTGTTCTAATATTCAAAACCTGCTGAGTACCTGTCCAATCAAATAGGAGGTTTTGTCAACTGGTGATTCTATCAGGTGAATCTTGAATTTTATTTATATATTTAAATTTAATGTATTCAGACAAATTGTTAATTATCTATAACCATGTGTCTTGGATTCCCAGGATAATCTCAATGTCAAATATGTTGTCGTTAGTGTCTATGTTACATTATAAATGATCAAACCATGTTCTATATTGGGGCCACAAAAATGTTATTACTTCATTAAAAACACTGAACACCTCCCATCAATTAAAGCTTTCATAAAACATTTTTTCTATATTATGATAGTCTATAATCCCACTAATTCAAAATGTGTTAGGGGCATCTCTTCAAAGTAGTAGAAAAATTTAAATTAATAACTAAAAAGAAATACAAAATTAGTTTTATTTCATATTAGTTTGAAGCTAAATGCTGCTATATGTTTCTATAATTTAGTAGCATTCCATGGGGAATTTCAGTGTTTACAAGGTAGAGGGGATATAAAAGTATTTAGTTCTATTTCTCATTTGAGGAAACCAACAGAATTAGCTCTTCCTTTAGGTTTAATTAAATACCATTAATTTAATTAAAGAAGTGGTAGAATCAGAACTAGATCTTGGGTTCTAACTTCTGTCAGTTATTTTATAGCATAAAAATAAAATCTTACAAACTAGAATGTGAGTGGACCAGACAACCTACCTCATTATTACATATGAGGTGTATATAATAAATCACATGAGTATGATTAACCACAGGATAAAATGCATAGACAATAACTTGAATGAGCTATTTACGACAGTACACACACATATATTCCATATCCATTTGAATTCAATTAAAGTCCCCCAATAAAACACAAGTAAAATTTACATTCTCAGCACTCCCAGACAGAGAGATATTGAAGAAGCCCATGAATGGGTTTCCTACTTCACCTTATTAATTACATTAAACTCCCATTTTTTCTGAGAGCCCTGTAAGGGACAATATTTCTGTTTCAAATTGGAATTGATCTTGCTTTCATCTGAATTACTTAATTTGTTCTAAAGGGCTCAGTGATGGTGGTATCAGGGAAAGGAGTCCTAGATGAAATCAAGAAAAACTAAATTAAAACTCAGAAATATCTAGAAGGAGAAACTTCTTTTTCTACTTTTTCTGTTAACATATATAAAGAGACAAAGATGAATGCCAATGGTCTGTGACTGAAGAAAGACACATGAAGAAGCACTGTGAAAATACGCCCAGTAAATATTAAAAGACTTTGGGAGGAAGGGGAGGCATACAGACACTCTAAATCCGCTCTCTTTGGGTTTTTGGTTATTGATGGAATGATTTGTGCTTTTGTTCATTCCCTAATTTTAAAAACAAGTCACACCCAGGCCCCAGCCTCTACTCTTTCTAAATAAAATCTGTAAGCTCTTAACAAAGTGTTTGATATGGAATTTAAGATAATTTGAAAGTTTCTCTAACTAACATCAAATCCCACCTTTGCTCATTGAGAAGACTGGCACTTTCTCTGTGGAGAAACAAAATACGTCCAGTACTCCTGTTGATCAGGTCCACAGAACCCTCAAATATCCTTCTTGCAGTGATAAAAGTGAAAAACACACACAAAATACCCTGCTACATATGGTTTAGCTAGTCAACTTTAATTTAGTGGATTCATGGATGTTTTTGAAAACTATCGTGAAAGAGGCCAAGTTGGGTTTGGTGTCTTCCTCACTTCCATGTCTGTGACTCTGTCACTCTGCTTCAGAGACCCACACCGTGGTGTCCCACCATTCTACACTAGCACAGCCCTTTTCCTGGGAATTCTGGACCAAGAGATCCTTCACTGCTTTATTCCATTTTGGTTCTTTCCCCAGAGCTTGCTAAGTACCCAGTACTCAGGAAGCTCTGTGGGTGACTCTCAGTTCCCAGAATGCTCACACATGAGGCCAGCCTTGTTAAGCTCTAGTTTCTTGTTTGGGCACACTGGACCAGCACACCAGCTATCACCGACTTGAAGACAGTCCAATCACGTGAATGCAGTTGGATACCAAATTTTCCTTGCATATATACACACACACACACACACATACACACACACATATGTTACATATATATACACACACACACACACACACATACACACACATATATATACACATACATTAAATACAAAGAATACATCTACAGCCCACCCTATGTAACTTTCTTCAATATGTACCTATTCCTGTATCCTGTTTCTAAACACCTCACTTCAAGATGCTGGAAGACTCACTACAGATCAACAAATATGGTCACAGGATTTTTAAAAAGAGAGAGAGAGGCTGAGGTATTACCAAGGGAAGAGGGAAAATCATTTGCTAGAGAATCTCTCTTAAAACTTTGAACATCAGTGCAAGTGAACTATGGTAGTTAAAATAGAGTCAATTTCATTTAAGAGTTTAAACATTTGCTCCTCAGTACTGAAAAAATGCCATGTCAGCAAAAACACTAACAAGGAAAGGGCCTATACCAGCCAATCCAGTGAGAAAGTACAGCTGAAAGAGACTTATCAGGATGGAGTTGAAGAAGTACTAGATTAGCAAGACACAGAGGACAACCTGGAGGTTACTGCTGATTCCCACAACTGGCTGACACAAGGTTAATATGCCGGTTAGGGGGTATTGCTGGAAAGGGATGAGCTGAATTAAAACTACCTTTCCATTCTAAACCGTGTACTTTGATGTCTCATGCTCTGCTTGTGCTAGAACGTAGAGGTGCATAATATGAAAATACTTTTAAACCCCTCAATTCTTACAATTTCCTGAGAATCAACTATAGCCAGGAAATATGAACCATTTTGATTGCCTGGATCTCCCTTCTTTCTTTACTGCCTCCAAACTAAACACTCGATAGTATTGTGACTACATTGTGTTTGGTATTTACAGGTAATCATTCGTACAACATTGATTAAATGCCTACAGGCCTCCTTGCCAAAAGTGATAAACACTTATAGAAGAAAACACATCTCGAACCTTTTATACATAATTGCAGAGAAGGCCATACATAGGGCCATGGGGAAGTCCATTCTCTAAGTGTTACTTAAGGAATACCTGCTGTCATTTGAAAGAAAGAATTGGCCTCAAGAAGTAAAATCAAACAGAAATGCAAAGTGGATCTCCAGGATTCTACTATTAAGACTTCGAGTCTAGCCCTTACTCAATTAAGTTAATGGGCCTGGACTGGACAACAGGCAAGCTTTTGCCCAGGTCAGGAGATAAGAAACATGTGGTAAATTATGAAAGAGCAAGGAAGAAAGACTAAAAATATAACTCAAAAATATGGTAGCTGGGTTAAGCAGGGACTTCTTTTGGGAACCAGCTGTTACCTACTTTCTCTGCTGGGCTGAAGAGCGTCGGGTGCAAATCACGGCCACGATCGCCACCACCAGCACTGTGATGATGCCAACGGTGACCACAATGATCACAAGCAGGTTGCTGTTCTTCTGAGGAGTGACGCTGCCATGTGGGGGGTGCATCTGGCCAATGGGTGGCTCTGGGAAAAGACAGGCAAATGGAGATCAGGTTTAGGGAGATATGGCAGCCCAGCGTTTATCAAGCTCTGTTAAGGATGGGAAGAGTTCCTATTGTTCTGGGTATGGCTGAAACTGAGAATAAAGCAATGAAAAATGAGAAAAAAGATCTAAATCATCTACCCAAGATAAATGAAACCTATGCCCACACAATAGCTTATACAATAGCTTTCATAGTAACATTATTCAGAACAGCCAAGAGTAGAAACCTAAATGTCCATCAACTGATGAATGGATAAGCAAGTGTGGTCACCCATACAGTGGACGCTCTCCAGCCATAAAAAAGAAATGAAGTACTGATACATGGTACAACATGCATGTACCTAGAAAATGTTACGCTAAGTGAGAGAAGCCAGACACAAAAAGCCACATATTGCATAATTCCACTTATATGAAATATCTAGAATAGGCCAATCTATAGAGACAGAAAGCAGATTAGAGTCAGTCAGTGGGCAGGGGAGAAGTGAATGGGGTGTTACTGCTAGTGGTACAGGGTGTCCCTTTGGGGCGATGAAAGTGTTCTGAGTGGGATGGTGGTGATGGTGGCACAACCTGTGAATAGACTGAAAAGCACTGTATTGTGCATTTCAAAAGGGTGAGTTTATGTTAAGTGGATTATAAATGAATTGAAAACAAAGAATTAAGCTATCGTATTGGCTAGAAAGTGGGGAGGGGAGGAAGGATGCTGCTCTGTGCTAGAAGAATTTTAGTGTGACAGGAACCAGAGAAGGTTTTGCTTGTTGAGGAAATACTACTTATTTGATGCTATGGAAGAAAAGCTATTTGGCGCCAATCACTCACAATTTACTTTCATTCCCTTTAAGAAGCTATCTGTAAAGCACATTTAATTTTCAACCTGCAGAGGGTGTATGAATCCGCCTTTAAGAACAGCCAGTGGGTTTGAAAGTCTCATAAAGTCCTGATACAAATGCCTTCCTGTGTTTCAACAGTAACTCACGGTAGACAATATTTGGGCAAAATACAACAGACTAAAAGGACAGTTTTGATAATTTGCTTATGTAAATAAGAATGGCTAAGGACTTCTAAAATTGATTTCTTTAAACAGTCAGTGATCAATCAATTAGGAATACTCTGCTCTATGTCATGCTTGTCATTTCAATCTACAAATTTTAAAAAGGTAAATATTAGCTTGTAATTTTATTTATAAATTAATTTAGAAAGCTGCAGAAAGCAATGAGTTTGGATATTTTCCTATATCTAAGTTTGAATATTTTTCTTTAACAACATATATTAGTCTTCTATATCCCTTGAGCACAATATTTAGGCCTCTTGCACCTCAGTGCCTTTTTTTCTTTCTGTAAAGTGAAAATAATATTACTTATTGTATCCAGTTACTGTCAGAATTAAAGAAAATATATGCAAGGCAACCACCTCAGCATCTGACACAGACTAAGTGCTTATAACATTATACTACTGAAATATTAAATAGAATGTTGCCTAAATTCATAACATCTCATACCATTTGTGGACTTCCAAACTACAAAATTTTTAGAAATAACCCTCAATGTAAAACATAAATAAACGTCTCAAGAGTCACATAACAACCCAATACTTGCCTCAAAATCAAAACCCTATCTTTCGACAAGTTATCTAAGAATCATTGCTTTTTTGAAAAGACAGTCACACCCGGCCGGGCGTGGCTCAGCGGTTGAGCGTCGACCTAGGATCCAGGCAATCGGGGTCCGATTCCTGGTCAGGGCACATGCCCAGGTTGCGGGCTCGATCAATGACTCTCTCATCATTGATGTTTCTGTCTCTCTCTCTCTCCCTCTCCTTTCCTCTCTCTGAAATCAATAAAGATATATTTTAAAAAATAATAATAATTGAAAAGACAGTCACCTATATTTAAGTAAATTATTGCTGACTCATTGTTATTGGAAAACTAATACGTGCTTCTGATATAAACTGAATTTCAGGGGGAGGAAATCATCAAAAGTTTTTAATAGCACTATCTGTTAAAAGATTCTGATTATAAATGAAAGACAGATTTCCTTAAAATAATTTTGCATTTACTACAAACAAATGGGGCAAGTAATGAAAGGTCAGGAGTTTCTGTCTAGTTTTACTTACAACTTAAAAAGTCGTTTTATAGTAGTATCGCAATATGCCCTTTCTGTGCTTAATAAACTAACTGATTGGAATAAATTAACCTTTTATGTGAGAGCTTATAATGAAGACAGCTGGGGATTTCATGGATTAAATTTAAAGGGTTCACCATCTCTGATAAACTTAGTTTGAGTCATACACAACAGTATGCCTTATGAACATATTTTAAAACCTTGTAAAGTAGAATTTTTCGAATTTCTACTCTTCTTTCTTTCCACCGAGGAAGACATCATGTTTCAAGTCACAAAATAATGACTGCTGAGCATTAGTGAGATTATGTGAGACTCTTTTCCTCGGAGAGTTAGGTTTCATGAGAACTTTCATCACAAATCTTTCATTTCAGTCCTTTATGACGTCCCCATAAAGGTTCCATCACCTTAAAAGTTGGTCTTTAATTCATTTCCTAATCTCAGTTCAAAAGCTGAATAATCAGATCTTCAGACATTAAACCATCAGTTTAGAAAGTCAAGTTTGACGATGTCTCTGGATCTGGCTGATCCTCGTTATTTGAAGGAGTTGTATTTTATGAAGTTGCCACAAGCACTGAATTAGAGAATGCTAAGTATTGCTTCTAGAGGAAATACAGGGTTGGGTTCCTGTGAGGCTCTGGTGACAAAATTTCTATCCACCAATCAATATATAACCTTGTTTTATGTATGTTTCTGTTTAAAGACACCGTATTTAATAATAATATTGATACATTAAATTGAACTCACAGCCAACAGCACTATAACTCATGCCTGCGTGGAGTTTAATTGACACACATATTTCCCCCAAAAGGCACATCATAGTGTTTTGAGCATAAGAGCACTACACAGCATTCAGCACCACATTTAGGGGCCACTTTATATAGTGAAACCACCAACAAAAAATACAAGCATGAAAAAATCTGCGTGAAATACATATATCATGGAAAGGACCCTTGTTTACAGTATGGGAGCTGCAACAAGGCGGTGTGTCCCTTTGTTCCATCTCAGCTGAGTCTGTGGACATCAGGCTTCTCAAATTTTCAGACATGTTCACAAATGACCATAAAAGCACTGCAAGTATTGATTTGGGGGGTTAAAAATACATTTTAGCAAGAAGGTGAGTTCACAAAGACAGAACCTATGACTAATGATGACCAACTATCTATTTAAGTATATATCAAAAGGCTGCTCCAAATTAGGAAGACTTTTAGAGCTCACAAATCCAGATTAGTGCAGTCAAGAGTTCCGGGAGCCAGCCTGACTCAGAAGGGGCAAGATGACATTTAGCACCTTTCAGGCTTCAGGGAGGAAGCTGCATGGTGTCATGCAAAGACTTGCAAATATCCTCCAGGACACTGCTTACTTAATGAGATAATGGATGCAACACACAGAGTTGGCACTCAATAGACATCATGATGTAGCTCAATGATTTCATTCTGTGTGATTTTTCCAAGTTAAAGAAAAATATGGTATGCGAATGCATCTGTTCCTCATGTTAGGATAAAAATGTGAATATCCAGTGCCTGAGTAAGCAAGATCTGCCTGTTTCACTGATAACAATGAGAAATAAATCAATTTCTATTTTAAATCACATGAGCATTCCATCCATTTTTCACTTTCATGATGTTTAATCATCACAAAAGAGTTCATAATTTTTTCTATTAAATTTAATAAAAGCAAACACATATATTTTATAATCTGATGGGTCTAAAGTTTTGGTAATGATTAGGAAAATTGGTTTAGTGAAATGTCTTTCATTTTTATAATATTTTGTAAGCTTTCAAAAATATTTTATGTTTCTTATCATAGTTGCCCTCGAAAACTCTTCCAGAAGCTCATTGGTAGACCAGTACTCTGACTGCTTAATTCTCTTATAGAAAAGAAATCTAAGTATTGAATCCAGGAGTCCTGGCTCCCATTTTTGAGGACGTGGGCCCATTGCCATAATGGCTGGGCCCTATAGCCACACAACATCAATAGGCAGGTAAACACTTGAACAATAGTTTCACCTGTCCGGGTCTGAGGAGAGAAACGGAGTCAGTGAAAGTTTCTAGTTCAGGACTGAACTTCTCTCCTACACCGGGCAGGCTTCCCTGATAAGTTTTGTTATTAGAACACTTTTATCTCAATATATGTCTTAAAATTTTTTACAGGTCTTTGAATTCGAACTGAAATTCATATGATATTGAATATTTCAAAGTATTTCCTCCAGAAATAAGGTGCCATGTAGTCAATCAGCTGGAAGAGAACTACCGGGTAATCTAGCCCAATGTTCCCTAAATAAAATATCAATCAGCATCATGGGGGGTTGGAATTCCTTGGTCAATTAAGTTAGAAAACATATTTCTTCCCTGAAATCTCAGAATGTTGAACATGCTTATCTGAACTGTGCATTACCAGGAGAGGTTGGGCAGAAATGTTAGAGAATTCATCCAATTATTCCATGAATATGAATGGAAGATCCAGTTAAGTGCTGTGGAGAAGATATGATCAGAACATGGATTCACCTTAGGGGGCATTATGTTAAGTGAAATAAGTCAGGCAGAGAAAGACAATTGCTGTATGAATCATTCATATGTAGAATCTTAAAAAGATGAACTAATTGAAATAGAGACTAGAATGATAGTTACCAGGGGCTAGGAGTTGGGGGAAATGAGGAGATGTTGGTCAAATAGTACAAACTTCCAGTTATAAGATGAATACATTGTATAGCATGGTGATTATAGTTAATAATACAGTGTTATATATTTGAAAGTTGCAAATTAAAAGAAAGTTGCTAAGAGACTTTGATGTTCTTTTAAAAAATTTAATATGTTTTTACGGATTTCGGAAAGAGGAAGAAAGAGGGAGAGAGATTTAGAAACATC